AAGAGGAAGACATAGGACGAGAGTTAAGGAGAGAGACGCTAGTCCAATTAGCCTCTTGGTGTGGAGTAATAGCGCGAGTATGAAATGGATGGATGAATAGAGTTAGCGACCCCCAACAGCAACACCACAGGGGTTATTCCACATGACAAAGAGCCTTTAATTACCTCATTCTAGGCTCTTTATTTCCCTGTGGCTGTGCCACTGTGTAAATCTTTCAAATACAGGTTTTCTCTCATGCTCCTATTTGGGCCATGAAACATGTCATGTACATCTGTGGAACAAAAAATCTTGGTCAAAACACTCATTGTTTTCTTCACTACAACCATTATATGAAATACTTATTACCTTGGTGGAATGTGGCAATCATAAACCAGACCAGACCTACACAGAAAACTGTGGGCCCACAAGATAGAGGAGTTTTTTTTTTGTGGCATAAATGGCACAGATGCACAACCTCAAACAGCAATTCCCACCTAAAGGGTTTAATGGTAACGTTAACCCCAAAATAGAACTTCTTTTCTTCAAAAACCCATATGACGTTTGAAAAATGTCTTCTATTTGTTCATACAGTACAGTGTCAGTGGGGTTCAATGGGGTCGTTCAAAGTCATGAGGTTTCACAGATTTGCGTAAATTATGACAGAATTTCATGGTGAACAGTCCCTTTAATCAACCCAGCATAGGGCCAGTTGTGTCTTATGTGGACACACTTGAGTGGCCCGGGATCATCAATAATAAACCTGCATCAGTGCATTTCTCCGGGACAGTGCTCTTGCTTTGCAATACCTGGTAAAGGTGCTCTAATGAGGGTAACCCCACACCGCAATGCTCTTTCAGACACAATAATGAGTCCCTTTCACATGTTGTACCAAGCCCTGACCTTACTACAACCCTGTCGGCATGACCTCTCAAGGAAACAACCTTTTGCCCTGATTGCAGTGTTGAAAACCACACTAAAGCCTCTTCGGTCATGCACTATGAACTTCTGATCTTTTCTCTTAGAAGAAATTAAGCCTATTGCTTAACCCACGGTGACCACAATAAATATCGAAGATTAATCGAGCAAATCCCTTTCCTGTGTGGCATATCCCGGGGAGGGGATACGTAGTCAGCGGGCGTTGAAGCCTCTGCCCTTAACTGACCCTGATGCAGGGTGACTTCCGAGAGTTTAATAGACTGTCTATGTTACTCCATCAATCTCTTTACAACCTCTTGGTAGGACTCTTTATGTGCCTTCATAAGCCCGCAGGAGAAGATGAAGCAGCGTGAGAGGACGAAAAAGGATTGGAGATTGGAGAATGAACTAAGAGAAGTGCATTTCAGTGAAAAAAATGATGGGTATTGTAGAGGATCATGGGGGCATTTCATTTACAAGACATTCTCATTGTACCCAAGTGCTTTAAAGCTGATGCATTTACCCCTCTTCACCTTTCTCTCTCTCCCTCCCGCTCATATCTGCATGTCTTCAGCTCTGACAGCTGCTCACTTAATAGATCCCGTTTGACAGTGCATAAGCCAATTAAAATGCTGCTGATTTAATTGAGCTGGGCAAAATCAGCCTATGCCAGAAAATGAGTCCATTAAAGAGGCGATAGAGGCCAGTGAAGCGGAGGCCATTCATGCTGTGAACCAAAGTCACATCCCGTCCCTTGCATCCTCCCTCCACGCTTCACACATTCCCATTTGGGAAGAGCAGGACTCCGTGAGGGCTGAATGTTGATGCTGGATTACAAGCAAATGGGAGTCAATGGATGGATTTGTTCAGGGTTTTACAGGGCCGGAGTCCAGCAGAGTTTACCTGTAGTCCCAATTAAACACACCTGAACCAGATAAATCAAAGTATTTAGGAACACCAAAAACTTTCAGGCAGGTGTATCGGAGCTAAACTCTGCAGGAAAGTGGTCCTCCAGAACTGAACAACCCTAATCTAAAGATATGCCATGGTCAGGACTGTACTTCAGTTAAAATTCTTGGGGAAACATTGTGACATATTGTGGAACAAATCGCTCTGGAACGTCTGAGCCACGTTTAAAAGAACATCCATTTTTGTTTTCAGCATCATGATATTATGCCAATTGGGAGATAACTGGCATATCTTACACCACCAGGCAGAAAATTTCTATGCATCCTTTAAGCAGAGCAAGAGATAAAAGAAGCCACTTCATCTGGATCAAAATGAGACTGAGATGAGCAGCAGTCCCTGGTGCGTATACCCATAACTTTTGGAGCTAAAACTGGTTGAAGCATTCAGGTATCTTACACAGAGTTCTGCATAATAGAGGCTATCTTTATGGATAATTAAAATTCTTGATCATTCTCATGCAGACAGATTGAAGGTGCCTGAGGGTTGAGTATAATCTAGCAAGCATAACTTTCTCTCACTTTAATGCTGGCTTTTATCTCCGCAAAACCTTACTGATAGGCGAAATGTTCTCAAACTTCGATTGCTCTTTGGTGAAGGAACATCACAAAGGCTTCATTACTAGTAATCCAAACCCAACACCAGGTTCACGTAATCTAAAACAGCCACCTCGTGAAAATCCCTCCCAGTGCTCTGTGAGCCACGGATCCATTCCTGTCATCCAGTCTGGGAAATGAGGCATTAAAAAGTGATGCATACATTTAGAGACCCAGGCTCTTGTTCAATCAGAGCAGGCAAAGTCGTTTAGAGATGCCTGGACTGACCACTCACTCAAGTGTGTGTTTAAGGAGAAATAGGAAGGGAATGAGATTTCAGACATGACAAGGGGATAATGGATGAACTCGACAAGTAAATGACAATGAGATCTCAAACCTAAGAAGCGAGGTTCCTCCTAACCCCACTGTCTCTTAAAGTTAAACTGTGTGACATCTACAATGTGAAACTTTTCTTTCAGATCAAAATGTAGCCACTCAAACATGAAATGGTCTCAAGACACGGCCCGATTTCACATCCCAAGTTCTGGCTATTGCTTGTCACAGGGTGAACTTGACTTTACCAGGTCAGATCACTGCTGTAGCGACTGCCCCCCTGCGTGCTCCTCTTGATGGGCTCACTGAGGCAATGCAATAAAATCTGAAATGAGGAACAGCATGCCTGCCTGCAGAGAGAGGAGATGAGTATATGGGCCGCATCACTGAAGCCCTGCAGCTGTGGGTCTGTTTGGAAGACATAGTTCATAACCAGCTGGCTCCAACAAGTCATCATCTCTCCCTAACATACAGACACACACACAGCGCTCCCAACATTGAGCTGGTGCTGAGCGTTTGCCCGTAATTTCATTTTCTCATTGATGTCATCCGATTTGACAGGCAAGAAACGGCAGGACACAAATTGCCCACAATAAGATGTGCCGATACGCTCTCAAATGAAACTCTCTCTTTCTCTCACTCACTCACACCGCATCTCTTTTTCCCCCTTTAGCTCCTGCTGTCTCCAAACCTCATATTTTCTTTATAGGACAATGCAGACCTGACAAGAAAGTAGAAGGGGAATGGGAATGATTCGAACTCTGTGAGCCATAACTCTTTATATATCACAAGGACATGCACTACCCATCGTGCCACAGCTCTGACAACTTCATTTTCTTATTAAAGGTTCATGGCATCTTCATGACATTTCTTGTGTCAAAGACAACATTAGGCACATTCAGTACATCAAAGACCATATTCAGACTTGAAGTCACATATAAAAAGAAGCAGACAGATGCTGTGAGCCACACATTGTTGAACTACAGTATAAAAAAAAACCAATTTAAAACTAAAAACTCCAAAACCAAATGTCTCCCAAACACAATTACTTCGGAAATGTGCATCATATCAGCCAGGCGCAGGCGTCAGATTGACACTCACAGAGTAAGTTATGACACACTCAGAGTAATGCACTTCAAAGTCGTGCCGATCAAAGAGCGGGATATGTGTTGGAGCATGGGGCTTGATTAATCCCCTCGAGTGTGACTCAGGACTGTGTCGGCCCGCCAGCAAAGAATCGGTCGTCTCCTGAGCAGCAGAGTGCAGCCATGGGGCGACTGCAACATGCGGCAGACAGATTCAGCACCATGGAGAGCGCCCGCTCTGCACAGGTGGGAGGCTTGGAGATGCCATGCTGAGGTGTCGAGTGATGGGATTAATGAATCAATAACACATCAATAGGGAATGCATTATTGTAATCGCCTTCAGTGCTTAACGTCACATGAATCAGCCATGTCTTTCTGTGTGTTCACTGACTGTGTGAAAATTACAACATTGTGCCAAAGGTGCTTTGAGATGGTTAGTTATAAACAAGCAAGGCTTCCAAAGGAAGGAAGAGTCTGTGCTCAATCTGACTCTGGTGAGGTGTCGTATGACAGAAGCACACTTCTGTGATTAAAATTCAGAGGTATAAGAAAGAAATAACTCTGAAATCATAATCCTCAAATGCTCAGAAAAAGATTTAAAAGCATTGTTACTGACAGTCACACAGTCAGCCAAATTATATATGAACTACACAGCCAATGCTTTAAACATTATACTCACTAGTGTACTCAAGTGTAACATTTTGTTGAAAGTTTCTGCAATTATTATAAATATTTTATTAATAAAATAAACTATAAAATAATTATTTTGTATTATAAAAATGTCAAAAACAGCAACATAAAATATATAAAATATACACAAGTTCCAAGTTTTTTTTAAATTATATGAATAATTTGTATATGTTTTTATTTCATATAAGGATGTCAGTGCATTTGAACCAAATATTGCAGAAAATAAAGTTAAATGAAATAGCTTTGATAGGTTTTGTCTTTTCAAGCAATGAGACAGTCATGGATAGCCAGATAGAGAAAGGGAGAGAGAGGAGAGAGAGGGGGACTCTATTTCTTTGATTTATATCACTTTTATTGATCTCCCCCTGCCCTTGATGTGTTCTATCTCCGCCAGCTCTCAACTTTTCGGGACGCGTTGGTGTAAAAGGGCTGCTTTGAAGCAGTCCTGACAGCAGATCATTCAGTACGTTTGCGCAGCACAACAACATCGACTCACCCCAGCGTTGTCATGGTGACGATGGTGTACCAGAACGCCGCCGGAATGCTGGTGAACTTGCTGGCGGAGGAGCCCTTCTCTGCGTAGAACATGACGGTGGCGAAGATGATGATGGCCATGGTGAGAGAGAAGAGCAGGAAGCCCAGCTCGGACGCGCAGCTCTTGAGCGTGTACCCCAGGATGCGCAGTCCCGCGGAGTGCCGCGAAAATTTGAAAATCCGAAAGACCCTGAAGACCCTGAGGGTGACGAAGGCCCCGCTCACGTCCTCGTTGTCCGTCATGACCAGGCCAATGTAGTAAGGCATGATGGCCACCACGTCAATGATGCTCATGACGCTTTTGACGAACTTGTACCTGCTGGGCGCGGCGATCAGACGCAGCAGGTACTCGACGGTGAAGATCATGACGCAGGCCGTATCCAAACAAAAGAACGCGAGGGCGTAGCGCTCTCCGCACGAGACCTCCTTCGCCCGGTTTGGCCCGCTGCCGCACGGGACCGTCTCCACCACGTTGGCCATAACGGAGACGGCGATGAAAAAGCCCGTGACGTAATAAAACACCAGCGCCATGGTGCTGGTGTGCGGGTTCTCAAACGCGCGCCACATGGTCTCGCGGAATGACATATCCGGCAGCACCATATCTTTGTTGTTGTCGTTCTCCTCATCGTCTTGAATCCTCTCCACGTTCTCCCTCCTGCGATCTTTGTACTCCTCATAACAGCAGTCCCCTATTATCTCAGGAATGATGCCGAAGAAGGCCAGCTCCTCGTCATAGGCGGAGATGCACTCGTGGCGAGGGTAGTGCAGCTTCCCGGTTCGGTAGAAGTTGAGGATGTGCCTAAAAATGTCCGGGTCGCGGTCGAAAAAGTACTCGTTGGTCTCCTCGTGGAAGAAGAAGTCGCGCTCTGTGCTTCCCAGTAAGGTGTCGGGGTACCTCTCCAAAGTATTCCGCCAAGTTTGAAACCTAGTGCCGCTGACATTCAAGATGATCAGACCGTCCTGACCTCGCCTCTTGTCCCGCGGAGGCGGCGGCATCGGGGCGCTCGCCACGGGCATCCATCCTATGGCCGCGGCGCGCGCGAACGGTAGCCACGCAGCGACTCCGGCTGCCATGCTGACCCAACGTGCGTGACCCGGTGCGACTGAAGCAGGTTTTGCGCTCACAAATCCGCCGCGCGCAGAAAGGACATCTGGAGAGACACAAAGCGCAATCACTTGATTTTCAAACTTCAACGAAGGCTATTGCTCACGTGCAGGAGAACACTGCACAGTGAGTCATGTTATTTGTCAAGATCAAAGCATTCGAATGGCAAGGAGGAATTACAGTGAGCGTAGAAATGAATGGTGGTGTATGTAGTATGCATGCGTAAAAAAGGCTTTTCGGTCAAACACAAATGGCTAAATCTATATTTTACAGTGTAACCTATTGCTCAAGAGCAAGAGAAACAACTTACCTCCTCATAAATGGATTTTGATGCAAAAGTGCAGGTTTTTACACACAGCTCATCAGTTATAGTCCACTTTGAATAGCTGTTCCGCCGTTACGCACAAATAGGTATCCGAAACGCGCACTCGGAGGTTTTCTAGAGCAAATGCAACAAGTTTAGAAGTCAGGTAGAGGATTCACGTTGTCCAAGGGCATCCTTTTTTATCGTCCACAGCTTCTGTGTTTGACATTTACGCTCTTGGAGAAACCTGCCACAGTGGTCGTTTCATAGGAAGAGAAGACCACCCTGGCGAGAGCGCGTTCGGTGTTTGAAAAGCAAAAATTGCCACTTTCCTATCCGCTTCTTTTAACAGTAATCCAATGACCCGAGAGCTGTTTCGCAAGGTCTGCATGCGACCCAAGCAAAAAGTGAACCCGCAACAAATGATTCGCTGGAAGTTGCTTCATCCGCTATCGACGAAGATCTGTGAGTCTGCGGTGGAGCCCAAGTTGCTTCTGCTCACGGCGCATTGGAGGCGTGTCACGTGCTACCGGCATCGGTTAACACATATGAATGTAACAGCCTGTGTGAATGGTGCATAATGTACCTTAAGAAGTGTTACGGTAAAATGTTTACTTGCAGTATTTTGTTCTGTTGTAGCTACATGAAACGAACGTCCTATATTGCGCACTGTATAAAGTTATGCAGTGGCATTATCTGAATTATTATTAATCAAAGTTTGGCTGGAATTCAGTGAAGTGCTGAACCCTGAGCTGAGAGACTGAGGGAAAAGCTTTGCGGGTATTTTCACGTCTCAGGTTATCGATTCACACATTCAGCTCTGATAGATGTGCAGGGGTGGAAGCCGCTAGATGGAGACAGTTTTCAGAGGTGAAGGAAGATCAGACCTGTAAGAGCGAATGCATTCGAGTCATGTGAAGGTCTCTTGCTGTGACAAACACAACCAGCAAGCTCCAAATGCGATTATCTGTGTTGCAACTCTCTACACATGGGTCAATGACAAATAAGGATGGCTGAAAAGGAGAAATGCTGCACAAGGCAAGTGCTTTATGTCAGTTACACACACACACATATATAGCATTGCCAATTCTGTCAGGAACTGCGTCGCCTGTAATGAATATAACGACATGTGGTTAATCCACACTAACATCGATTTGACATGCAAATGTTTCCAAATATACATATTTAAAACAGCTGTAATCGCTGAAATAAGAAATAACAATCAAATAGATTTAATTCTATTTACTTGTTGAGATAAACTTAAAATTTCTGAACTCCAGGACTATATACCTATATATTTTTTAAGATAATACCCAGTCGGCGTGGCTTCTGACAAAATGGACTTCGCCAAAAACTGATTTAAAGGGGTCATATGATGCGATTTCAATTTTTCCTTTCTCTTTGGAGTGTTACAAGCTCTTGGTGCATAAACAAGATCTGTAAAGTTGCAAAGTCTAAAGTCTCAAATCCAAAGAGATATTCTTTATAAAAGTTAAGAGTCAACCACGCCTACCTAAAACAGCTTGTTCTAACACGCCCCCACATGTCTACGTCACGATGTGGGAAGATTTGCATAACGGCGCCCAAATGTTCACGCAAAGAAAGAAGGCGTAACTTTTAGTCTCGCTGTAGTATTGTTCTTGCCGCCGCTGCCATGTTGTGAAGAAGCTGTGTGTTTCAAAATAGGACGATATCCGCTTCGTCATGCCTAGAGCTGATCCGTGCTGGTCGCTGAGGAAATACATCAACTTCGCACTGTGGATCGCCGGATCGGCTTTCACCGTGGACAAAGTGGAGTCCAGCCCGGGGTCGTCACATGTGGTTGGTCAAGCCCGCCGGCCGCGCTGTTCTCAAGCCCGCCAGCTGCCGCTCACTCTAACCCGCCTGCCGTTCCTCACTCTAGCCCGCCGTGTGTGACGCTGTGTGTTTCGTTGTGAAAGCGAAACTACTTTGTTTGGCCGCTTTGTAAAAATCGACGCGTTTCAGAAAGGCGGGGCATAGAGGAGCAACAATAATGTACATTATGTGGAAAATAATGTGTTTTTTGAACCTTAAACCGCATAAACACATTGCATTACACCAAATACACAATATTATGTTCTTTTTAGCAATGTCTTATGACCCCTTTAAACGAGTGAACCAAAATAGCTGCGGCAGCTCAGAACGCCATGTGTGTGTGTGTGCGTGTCCCCGTGATGAATTTCCGGACGATGACCCTCCCTCTTCTCTATTGCCTTCCAAACTAGTCACATAGACGTTATCACAGATTAAATGTTGGGAGAGAGAAAAAGAGAGTTTTGATCTCAAAGGTTTGCTGGGTTTTTCTCTTCAGCACCGCGGACAGCGACCAGCCACAGTTGCACTGCCACGTTATTGATTATTGGCAACGCGATTCAAGTGCTTATAGCCAATTTCCATTATGTTTGAGATGTATTTTTTCTCTCTCTTCCCCCTTATTACACTGCTTAAAACGCAGAACTGTATTGATATTCTCTGCCTTCTATACGCTTTTCTGCAATTCAGCTCAAATGCACTCACAGAATGTACATTCTATTCGAAATTTGTTTTTCGTTTGTAGCCTACTAGAAATTAAGATTGGTTTGAAAATTTAACTTTGAAAATCCACTCATTCAAAATAATTGTAATATTTGCATACTGATTTGAGATTGGTCTTCTTTCTTATTTTTCTTATCTATTTGACAGTTCCCAAGAATACTGTGAACTTTGGTGTAGCATGGGGGGAAAAATAAATACAATAAATAAAAAAAATAAATGCACAAATCTGATGTTTCTTTTTGTAAGATCATTTAGTTGTTATAAATAAAGTATTTTATAACATAAAAAAACGATTTTATTAACAACACTGAATATAAAAAACATATATAAATAATTAAACAAACAAATAAATAAAATAAAAAAATTGTAGTGTATTCAAGTTTAACCATTTAAACTCTTACCCTTACCCTTATATATATATATATATATATATACAAAAAAAATTTATATAAAATATATATTTAGTCCCAAACAAGTGACAGATTAATTTAGGCCACATTCAAACGCTATTACTTTGAACTATTCTGGCTTTTTAATAGGGTTGAAACACATGCAATTCATATATAAAATAAATAGGAAATAAAATGCTTCATAATAAAAATTGTACAACCTTCTGAGGCTGACAAGCAACCTTTTCACTCACCATCAAAATGGCTGTGAAGCAGCATTTCAATTACACAGCAAAGCTTGCAAGGCAGCAAAAGAAAAGTTCTATTTCCTTTAGGAAAAGCAAATCTACTTTAGGAATGTCACGGGCAACCCACACTCGCCTTCACACAAAACCACACCACTCTAAACTTAATTCATTTCCAAAGCTAACAGGATTCCCTCATTTGAGCATTCTGTACCGTGACCACGCACTATGTTTGAAACAGAATGAACCAGAATAGAAGTGTTCAGCACCATCGTAGTCAATTTAGTGACTTGTGCTCAGAGCATTTCCCTGCCTCGGGCTCTTAGAGAAATGGCGCCAAAATATGACAGGCGCCGGTGTCACCATGGTTACCAGTCACGTATATTTCAGTCCCGTGAGCTAAACCTGACAGTATTGATGCGCGTATTTGCACGCTACTCGAGAGACTGTGCACCCCTACAGTTCATCGCCTTAGCATGATAAAATTCACACCTCAGTCGAAACTTAGAACTTCTAACTTTACCACCGGGATAACGCTCTCAATCTGCGATGGACCTTTGAGCTTTGCATCGTCCGGTTTAAGTGCCAGACCACAGCTGACTAGACCCCTATACATTTACAGAAAATGAAAAGGAACATCTTAATTCAAACTCTTTTAGCTGGAGGTCAAACCACAGAGACACGTTCATTAGAAATGATCCTTATCATTGGAGACTGGACTAGGAGGATATCAAAAGGGCTGTTTCAGCATGCATGGGAGTTGGATATGACTTTAACTGACTGACTGATCAGTGTATTTGAAATTCTGCAGGGTTGACATGAAGCATTTCACCATTTATTATGTTCAACTTCTCTCTCAGGCCAAACATTATTTTGCTGGTCATGTTCGGCCTTCAGGAATGTCGCAGTAAGTAAAAAATAATGATTGAAAGTCTTGATTTGGGTCTAAAGGCAGGTATATAAAAAGTACCAGTCATGACCATTTGGACACCTGACTGAATATGTTTCTTCATTTTACAAGATAAATAAAGATTTTGACATTATTTACTCATCTTCACTGATTCTCTGCTGTGGAACACAAAATATATATTTTTTAAATGTCTGTTTTTTTTTCCTTTTTGTTAACACCTAAGAAAAAACATGCTAAAGAATGACATGAGGGTGAGTAAATGATGATAATTTTCATTTTTGTGTGAATGGTCCCTTTAAACTATCCACTTACGTAAATGCAGGATATTTGCTAAAAAGTAACTCACTCTAAGGCCATTCAAGATGTAGATTGTTTCTTCACCAGAACAGATTTGGAGAAATTTAGCATTACATCACGTGCTGCTCACCAATGAATAATTTGCAGTGAATGGGTGCCATCAAAATAAGAGTCCCATCAGCTGATAAAAAAAATCACAATAATCCACAATATGACTACAGTGCATCAATTAACATCTTGTGAAGTAAAAAGTTGTGTGTTTGTAAGAAACTAATTAAACGCATTTTCTTTTACTTCAAACCATTGCTTCCAGGTAAAACATGAGTCCTCTATCAATAATGTTGCTTTCTTCATTGAAAAAGTCATCTTCTGAATCAGGAGCGAAATATGCACAGATCAAGTACCATTTAGGAATATTATGGATTATGGACTGGCATTTTGCCCAGAAGGGACAGTTAAACTAACTTTTTTTCATTTGTGTAATACCTACTGTATATGTGTGGTGAAGGTGAGTGATCTGAAGCACTCATTATCTCTGCAGTACTCTATACAACGCTGAACAATATAGCACTTGCTTCACTGCCTTGGCCATTACTCATACATATAAAAAGTATAGGAGCAATATACACCCCTCACTTGTAAAAGTAGATTAAATATGTACTAAAACTCCCACGAGTCACTCATTCAGCATCAAAGCGAAAGCAATCCCGTATAACCATTTTTAACACACATAAAATTACGCAAAATAACATCCATAAATCTTAATCCAGAAAGAGAGACAGAGAGAGAGAGAAAGAAAAAATGAAACGTTCCTGAGGAAAATTATCCTTACTAAAGAAGAGAGAGAAGAAAAAACAACAACTCTGGCTTCTGTCTGGTTTTCCCATCAAGCTTCACGCAAACACAAGCCAAGCTGTGAGTGACACAATATCATGAACGCCGCTGGTGTTTTTCAACCCCTCTGACAGGATCCATGGTAACGGTATAACCGTAATAATGTCATTTTTCATACTTGACAATGGCGCTCAGAGTGAGCAGCCACACCGGTCGTTCATCACCCCGCGTGGAC